ATTAGGCTCACAGGGCCAAACTATAACGCGTTCTCTCATATATTGTACGGCAGTTTACCCTCTGCCTCTACTCTGTGAGGACTACAGAAAATGGTTTCTTCTGCGATACAAAGAAAATATAATAATCAACGATAAAGGGAAACTCTTACTATTGGAAGGGGTGTTGTCTGTTGCGGGAATATCAAGGGCGGATCCAGCGGGGGAGGGGGGGGGGTCCTCGGGTTCCGGACCTACATTTCACCAGAAATTTCCAATACTTTTTCTTTAATACAGTATTATACTCAGGTGTTTTTGTATAGTAAAAAGTAGGTAATATTTTACTTTCGGACATGAGTCCTTAGGGGTTAACCAATATGTTTTTCCAGTGTGTGTTAAACGAATCTGACCTTCATTTTTGGAGGAAATTACTCGTCCCCCATTGATAATGGGGAGAGCCTGGGAAACCAGGGTTTGGGGTGGGGGAAAACACGAAAACGAGTCGTCTAACCTAACCAAACCTAACCCCAAGCCGTAAGCTCCGCCCCCGGACCCCCGGTAGGCTTAGCCTAAACTAACCTAACCTATCCTATTCGTTTCCAACTATTACAAAATGGACTCAAATTAATGAAATCTAAATGTTTCAGTAGTTTTAAACTTTAGCTAGAAGTGGAAGGACCAGGGATAGGTTCAGGGTCAACCACTGATGCTTGTTATTTTTATTTTACAAGGCAATTTACAGTGCAGACACTCAACAGACGTAGGGAGAACACCGTGATTATGTAGGAATTGGATAGCTTGATCGTCTTTCTCGTAAAACTCCACAATAAGCTTAAAATAATCGTAGGAGCGCGATTCACACCCAACTTCTACCACGGCCACACTGGTCATTGAAATTGAAATGATTGAAATCCTTCAAATCCGTACCTGGCTCCTCCCTTTGAAAAAAATCAATTTTGATTGGTCGAAAAAAATTCGCGTGATTAGATCGATACATCATTGGTCACGACTGGAAGACGCCACTATGCGTAATGTAAACAAGGTCATAATTAGCTCGGTTTCACGACGATAACATCTCACATAGATGAAGACTGAAAAGTACGTAATATCAATTAATTTAATTGTGTCGCTATTATCCATTTCCGCCAGGAATATATATGGGGTTCAAAATGCTCAGAATAGGGAGATCTAAATGTTTTAGTAGTTTATTACTTTGGGGCGCGCTATGTCCGAAGGTAAAATAATACCAAAAAGTAATTACTATTCACTTCAGAATATCTCTTAATACCATGTGCACATAGCTTCAAAATGGCCTCAAAATGTTCATGATATTGGTCACATTTAAATAAAAATACCCCAAATTTCCCAGTTGGATGGGCTCCTGTGCTCGCCAGTGTTACCCCCCTCTCCCCCTCCCCCAATCCACACCTTCTTGGACCCCCCTTTTCATATTCCTGGATCCGCCCTTGAATATATACCAACACCACATATCATCTGTATTTTTATCTCCGTTTAAAAAAATAAGAAAATTTACAAAACAAACAAACCGTGAATTTGACGGTGTTTAACTCTTACCTCACCTTAACTACAGTGACTTGTACATACAGATAACGCTGATGTACGGTGCATTATCTCTCACCAGTACATTTTACACGGTTAGTGAGTGAGCCACATTAATATGAGTTAATCCTCGTTCTCATCTCCTTGTTTGGTATTGTCTTATTGTTGCGCTAAGTGGCAGAGTTCGGGACATATACGACCAGACAGTTGCCAGTGACCTACAGCATACACACACACACACACACATCGAAACAAGATTGAGTACATTGGTGTTGGGCCAGTTCTACACTCCACCCCCTCCCTCCCCACCTACACCCACCCCGCCCTCCCACCTACACCCACCCCTGCCTCTCCACCAACACTCCACCCTGCCCTCCCACCCATGCCCCACCCTGCCCTCCCACCAACACCCACCCTGGCCTCCCACCTACACCCACCCCTGCCTCCCACCAACACTCCACCCTGCCTCCCACCAACACCACTCCACCCTGCCCTCCCCACTCCACACCCACCCTGCCTCCCACCCACACCCACCCCTGCCCTCCCACCAACACTCACCCCACCTCCCACCAACACACCCACCCCTGCCTCCCACTCCACACCCACCCTGTGCCCTCCCACCCACACCCACCCCTGCCCCTCCCCACCCACACCCACCTCTGCCCTCCCACCTACACCCACCCCTGCCCTCCCACCCACACCCCACCCTGCCTCCCACCTACACCCACTCCGCCCTCCCACTCACACACCCACCCTGCCCTCCTGCACTCCACACCCACCTGCCCTCCCACCTACACCCACCCCGCCCTCCCACCAACACTCCACCCTGCCCTCCCACCAACACCCACCCTGCCTCCCACCAACACCCACCCTGCCCTCCCACCAACACTCCACCCTTGCTCTCCTCCCACCTACACCCACCCCTCCCACCCCACACATATTATTTCCTCTACTGTGCTGGGGATCAGAACAGTCTTATTTGTTATGGTGTCTTGGTATTATGGGTAAGTCGGTAATGGTGTGTGAAGGATCATTAGCTGAGCCACTTGTTACCGTTTCCTGCCTCTGTCTCTCCTGTGCCCCCCCACCTCCCCCCTTGTCACCCCCATACCCCCAATGTGTCCCTCTCCTATCCTCCCAACCCCACAGTCTCACCCTTGCCCCCCCTCCCTCCTCTTTGTGTTCCTTCAGGACGCCGCCATCTTCCTTCACCCAAAATAAAGTGAGAAACTATTTTTTTTATTAATGGTTCTTTGGTGGTGTTTTTAGTGGAGCACAAGACAAATATTTTGAATAGAAATAAAAATATGAGTGAGGTTCGTCTGCCACCCAGGAGGACCACCATCTTGTTCCAATAATGTTTCAACTTTTATAAGACAACCACCAGAATAACTAATTAAAGAAAACATTATTTTTCATTTGTTTTATACTTGATGTTTTCTTTCATGTACAATATGGTCGTAATAATATGGTAAGAAGATCGGCGTTAATTTAGTGTTCGTTGTGAGAACAAATATGGCTGCCGGTGACGTCATCAACTCATTGAACCTCCCGGTTGGTGCTAAGCGTCACCAAGGTTCTGGTGGCCAATATGTCGGTGGCCAATGTCTCCTAAGTGAAGGTTTAAGAATACACTTAACTTTTCACCTTAAAATATAATCAAAAATATATTGTCCAACATTAACATGAACATCACACTGCAATTACCTTACTATGAGACCTTTACTGAATACCTGTTATAGATCACAGTATTTAGGTAGAACATATCGTGGTTAAGAACCTCTTCCTTAACTTAAGAACCCCTCAGAGTACCGTTCTCCTTTCTGAGGGTTGGCGACCAGTCCTCCAGTAAACGTTCACGGACTGTTTTTACCAATCCTCCAAGGTTTTGCATCTATCTGGGGACCCAGTTAATAATTTTATTCATCCACCCTAGTCTCTGCCTTCTCCTGGCTTTCCTACCCTCAAATTTCCCCATTAACATTTTTGTTATTATCCACTCTTGAAGGTTTTGCTAATCTTAGTTCAAATACATTTGTCTTCCTGTCAGTGTAGCTTATTCTTAACATTCGTCTTCAAAAGCCTCCAACCTCTTTCTGGTGTCTGCTGAAAGTGTCCACGCATCTGACCCATACAACCGTTCTGATCGTACGAGTACATAGCATTTCAGCAACCGTATGTTTCAAATTGAAGTTAATGTCCCTTTTCATTGGATCTTTTAATTTATTAAATGCTGTTTTTGCTTGACCTTTTCTTGTTATTATTTATGTCGTACATCCGTCATCACTGCTGATGTTACTTCCCAAATATAAAATTTTTCTCACTTCATTTTCTTAAATCATAACTGATGCGTCGTCAACATCTGGTTAGAACAGTCTTCCTTCATCGGTTACTAGTGAGTGTGGCCACAGTAAGACTGGCCAAAGTCAGAGTGTGGCCACAGTCATAATGGCCACAGTAAAAGTGTGGCCATAGTTGTGGTAGAAATCAGAGGTTTTCCCCCACGCAGGAAGAGCCACGTCCGGCCCCGGCAGCTAGGGTGCTATACATAGTTTGGCCGTATAAGCTGAACAAGTTAGTGTTGGCCCAGGGAACACGACCAGGTGGAGCGACCTTCACTACTGAGTCATTTCTCTCTCTCTCTCTCTCTCTCTCTCTCATCATGAACGTAATAAACTAGATCACATCATATAGTTTCAACTAATAAACGCTTGTTGTGGACTTTATTGCTTTAAATGACATCATATATTGTTAGCCAATAAACCCTGGCGTGGACTCAGCTGACCAAAAACATCACACATTTTCAGCCAATAACGCCAGTTATGACAATGTTGCCTCGATGACGTTCTTAGTTATCTTTGGTGAGGAAGTGAATAATCAGAACTAAATTTGTGTGTAGGAAATATTTACCGCTATTATGTAGGTGGAGTATTGCCAGCAGTGTCTGTTGTGTGTGTGCACCCGATCACCGTTGCCTGACCAGCGCGGGTGAAGGAACAGAGTAGTGAGGCAGGCTTTCTATGGTGCCAGTGAGGGTGGAGGAAGAGAGTGTGTCAGGTAACTAGACTAGAGACTAACATAATTATCTCTCCTGTTGGTTACTTTAAGGCAGATAAAGTGAAGGTCAAGAACCATAACTTGTTGTGTGTGGTAGAATCAGACGTGAACCATAACTTGTAGTGGTTGTTAATGAAGTACAGTACAGTGTATTACAAGTATTAACTGTATTGCCACGTTAACCATATTTATTATTATTATTATTATTATTATTATTATTATTATTATTATTATTATTATTATTGTTACTATTATTATTATTATTATTATTATTGTTACTATTTTTATTATTAATTTTTATTATCATTATTATTAGTAGTATTAGTAATAGTAATAGTATGACAATTAAAATGATGTAGTGTACTGTTCAATGTGTAGAGAGTAATAATGTGCGGTGTGTATTACAGCTTCAGGGAGAGCCAGTGGTGGTTCGCGGGGTCAACTTATCAGAGGTCACTGACGACACCCGTCTTAACCAACTGGTAAGTACTCTTATACTTTATACCTCCTCTTATTACTTATAAATCCCAGGATTAAAGTATATTCATATTCTCTCTGAAGTTCTTATACTTTTCACTTCCACTTTATCTGTTGTGAAAGCTGGTTGTAGTGCCCCATCTGTCACTGCCAGCTGGTTGTAGTCAGGGCCGGCCTAAGGAGGTGCGGGGCCCAATTGGGAACAATTTTTGTGAGTGCAGGGTATACATCTAATAATATTGCTATATTCGTAGGTCTTAATTACCTAGATTTATGTATGTAAAACAGGGGTCGGGGAACTTTTTGAGTAATACCCAAAAATTTATTTGGGAAAAATGGAATTACCTCTAGATTTGAAATAAAAAAGCCACGTCCGTTTATACATGTGTCATTTATTTATTCATTTATTTAAAATAATACTCGTAATGTCTGTAAATATGACTGAATAAAGCAGAAAACATATAACACCTGCCTATCACTCCTTATGAAAAGCCGTAACTGAAGGAATGCTTGAGAAAATGAATTCATCTTCATCGTCACACAAAATGATATACGATCATCTTTTACCTGATGTTTTATGAACATTTTGTACTACTCATTACAGTAATCCTCCGAAAATCAGTGACTTCATATTTTAGATATATGGTTTATATCTTGGTCACTAAAACTTGCCTCATTTGTGGGTCCTTGACACAAAATTACTCAGCTAGTAGTAAGATCCACTCAGCTGTGTTTTCACTCGACGGAAGGGAAACTCACACCATGAGATGGAAACAAACGTAAATCTGACGACCTCTAGAAACTTTGGTCAGTCACCATGCCAAAGAAAACGTTTTATAACAATGCGGAGTAAACTCAAGGAAACTGAGGCCCTCATGTCGCATGTATTACCAAACTTTATAGATTTACCCCATTTGGGATAATTTACCCCTATCCCCAGACCCGTTTTGTGAAACTTAAATACTTGAGTTTGAATATAGGCCTACTATATATTTTGCAACAGAGATGTGCATGTGCATAAAGATGTAATATAGTAATTTAATCACATGATACTGTTAAAAGAAAATACTATAGGTTTATAGATATTTAAAAGCTGTTACACGTTTATTTACATATTTGTCTTTTTAATTTTTTTCAGATAAATTATTTTTAATGCTGTTCTGTAATTAACATATTATTTGATTCAGGTACAGTAAAAAAAATCAAAACATATACAGTATAAATAAACACTACCGACTTTGTAAAATTCATAAAAAATTATAATAATTGCTGTTCTCTGTAGAACCTGCAATGTGGTGTTACATATACAGTATATTGCAATGAGTTGTTGTGTGTACTTGACGAGCCCAGAGTAGATTACTCTAGCGCGGGGACCCCTTTAGACGCGGGGCCCCCTTAGGCGCGGGGCCCCCTTAGGCGCGGGGCCCAATTGGGAGCAATTGGTTCAATTGGCTTAAGGCCGGCCCTGGTTGTAGTGGTCCATCTGTCTCACTACCAGCTGGTTGTAGTGGTCCATCTGTCTCACTACCAGCTGGTTGTAGTGACCCATCTGTCTCACTACCAGCTGGTTGTAGTGATCCATCTGTCTCACTACCAGCTGGTTGTAGTGATCCATCTGTCTCACTGCCAGCTGGTTGTAGTGGTCCATCTGTCTCACTACCAGCTGGTTGTAGTGACCCATCTGTCTCACTACCAGCTGGTTGTAGTGATCCATCTGTCTCACTGCCAGCTGGTTGAGTTAAACCACTTATGTAACTCCCTTTAAATATTCTGGTCCACCTGTCGTGAGCCATCTGCTTAACCCCCAATTAGCTGTGATGGGGTAGGTGGGGGGCACCACTTGTTGCTTGTCTTGAGGACAAACACGAGGATTAAGTCAGGTCTGTCGTGTGGGTCACCTCTATACCCGGACCTTCCGTCACCTGGCCTGTGTCTTGTTGTATTGTACCTGACCAAGTTATGTTACAACACGTGAGGTTGTTGGTGATGTATGTTAAAGTTATGTTACTACACGTGAGGTTGTTGGTGATGGTTATTAAAGTTATGTTACAACACGTGAGGTTGTTGGTGATGGTTATTAAAATTATGTTACAACACGTGAGGTTGTTGGTGATGGTTGTTAAAGTTATGTTACAACACGTGAAGTTGTTGGTGATGGTTGTTAAAGTTATGTTACAACACGTGAGGTTGTTGGTGATGGTTGTTAAAGTTATGTTACAACACGTGAGGTTGTTGGTGATGGTTGTTAAAGTTATGTTACAACACGTGAGGTTGTTGGTGATGGTTGTTAAAGTTATGTTACAACACGTGAAGTTGTTGCTGTTGGTTGTTCCAGTTAAACACATTAAAACGAACTATCTGATCTTCTCATAATTATTAATTCAAATACAACAGAACACAACACTGAACAGAGTTGTACACAAACAGTATACACTATGTTGTACACATACTGTACACTATGCTGTACACAAACACTGTACACTGTGCAGTACACAAACACTGTACACTTGTTGTACACAAACACTACACTGTGCAGTACACAAACACTGTACACTACGTTGTACACAAACACTGTACTACGTTGTACACAAACACTGTACTATGTTGTGCACAAACACTGTACTACGTTGTACACAAGCATTGTACTATGTTGTACACAAACACTATACTATGTTGTACACAAACACTGTACTTTGTTGTACACAAACACAGTACACTAAGTTGTACACAAACACTGTACTACGTTGTACACAAGCACTGTACTATGTTGTACACAAACACTATACTATGTTGTACACAAACACTGTACACTAAGTTGTACACAAACACTGTACACTAAGTTGTACACAAACACTGTACTACGTTGTACACAAACACTGTACTATGTTGTACACAAACACTGTACACTAAGTTGTACACACACTGTACTATGTTGTACACAAACACTGTACTACGTTGTACACAAGCAGTGTAGTAAGTTGTACACAAACACTAATACTATGTCGTACACAAACACTGTACTATGTTGTACACAAGCAGTGTAGTAAGTTGTACACAAACACTAATACTATGTTGTACACAAGCATTGTACTATGTTGTACACAAACACTATACTATGTTGTACACAAACACTGTACTTTGTTGTACACAAACACTGTACTACGTTGTACACAAACACTGTACTATGTCGTACACAAACTGCTGCTGTACTATGTCATTACACAAACACTGTACTATGTTGTACACAAGCATTATCAATAAGTTGTACTAAACACTAATACTATGTTGTACACAAGCATTGTACTATATTGTACACAAACACTATAATATGTTGTGCACACAAACACTGTACTATGTCGTACACAAACACTGTACTATGTTGTACACAAGCATTGTACTATGTTGTACACAAACACTATAATATGTTGTACACAAACACTGTACTTTGTTGTACACAAACACTGTACACTAAGTTGTACACAAACACTGTACTACGTTGTACACAAGCACTGTACTATGTTGTACACAAACACTATACTATGTTGTACACACACTGTACACTAAGTTGTACACAAACACTGTACTACGTTGTACACAAACACTGTACTATGTTGTACACAAACACTGTACTACGTTGTAAACAAACACTGTACTATGTTGTACACAAACACTGTACTACGTTGTACACAAGCAGTGTAGTAAGTTGTTCACAAACACTGTACTATGTCGTACACAAACACTATAATATGTTGTACACCCGCACTGTACTATGTTGTACACCCGCACTGTACTATGTTGTACACAAACACTGTACTACGTTGTAAACAAACACTGTACTATGTTGTACACAAACACTGTACTACGTTGTACACAAGCAGTGTAGTAAGTTGTTCACAAACACTGTACTATGTCGTACACAAACACTGTACTATGTCGTACACAAACACTGTACTATGTTGTACACAAACACTATACTATGTTGTACACAAACACTATAATATGTTGTACACCCGCACTGTACTATGTTGTACACAAACACTGTACTATGTTGCACACAAACACTGTACTATGTTCAACACAAACACTGTACTATGTTGTACACAAACACTGTACTATGTTGTACACAAACACTGTACTATGTTGTACACAAGCACTGTACACTATGCTGTACACAAACACTACACTATGTTGTACACAAGCACTGTACACTATGCTGTACACAAACACTGTACACTATGCTGTACACAAACACTGTATAAGATGTTGTACACAAACACTGTACACTGTGTTGTACACAAACACTGTACACTATGTTGTACACAAACACTGAACCTATGTTGTACACAAACACTGTACACTATGCTGTACACAAACACTGTACAAGATGTTGTACACAAACACTGTACACTGTGTTGTACACAAACACTGTACACTATGTTGTACACAAACACTGTACACTATGCTGTACACAAACAATGTACACTATGTTGTACACAAACACTGTACTCTGTGTTGTACACAAACACTGTACACTATGCTGTACACAAACACTGTACACTATGCTGTACACAAACTCTGTACACTATGCTGTACACAAACACCGTACACTATGCTGTACACAAACACTGTACTATGTTGTACACAAACACTGAACAGAGTTGAACACAAACACTGCACTATGCTGTACACAAACACTGTACTATGTTGTACACAAACACTGTACACTATGCTGTACACAAACACTGTACTATGTTGTACAAAAACACTGTACACTATGCTGTACACAAACACTGTACACTATTTTGTACACAGTAAGTTAAGGTACTGTGAGTCACATCACCAGCTGACGCACCTTATGTCCAAGTGGTTTTTCGTTGCGTCAGATAGCTCTATGAAGGCTTTACCTGACACACTATCTAACGTGACTGTATAAGTGTTAGGAGTCAGTCCCTGGTCCTTCACGTAACTGTATGAATGTTAGGAGTCAGTCCCTCGTCCTTCACGT